ACATCTGAGCCTCTCTCTGATGTCCCAATGGTCAGGTCATACCCGTCCTGGAAGGGAGCCTCAGCAAACACGGCACCTGGGGGAGAGACCCACAGAGCCACTTAGCTATGTGTATATGTATACCTGGGGGAGGGATGCAGAAGGGGACTCAGGCACGGGAGGCACACCCAGGCCCTCCAGTGTTCCTGGGAAGTCCAGGAGACCATGCCTGTGCTAGACTGGGGAAACCAAGCGGAGGGTGGGGAGGAAGGAGCTCTGAGAACTCCTATCTGTCCTTACGTCCTATTCCCAGCCCCATGGCAGACATTACTAATCGATCACAATCCTTTCTCTCAGAAGTCCTTCACAATATTCCAGGCAGCGCACTCAGGGAGACGGAGGCCCAGAGAAGGAAAGGCATTTGCCTATGGTCACACAGTAAGGTGGCAGGACAAAGCCCCTACTCTGCTTTTTGGGTCAGGCAAGGCTCTCTGTAGCCTCCCAGAGAGAGGCCAGATATTCAAAGGAGGAAACTCCGTCCTTACTGAGGCAGGAAGCCAGCCGGACTGTGTAGCCCCAGTAGAGACCGGCTTTGGTGCGAGGGTCCTGCGAAGACACGACTTTCCCCCGGTAGGTCTTGCTTTCTGCAGATGAAGTGGAGAGGCTGTGAAGATGGGGTGAGGGACAAGGAGGTGGAAGGAGGCGGCTCCGAGCCCAAATGCTGGCCAAGCTGGGAAGCTTCCAGATACCTGGGAGCTGCTTCTGGTTCAGCTGCACCGTCACCCGAAGTCCAGGCTCCAAGTTCTTGTCAATCTTCACCTCCTAGGGAGAAGCCAGGAGAAATGGGTGCTATTCCCCACAGGACCAGCAGGGGTCACTGCTCTCCCCGATGTGGGGGCATGGGGGCAGGGGCTGGCCAGGTACCTAAGGGATCCAGGTCAACCTCCATCCCCTTTCTCTGGCACCTGCGCCAGACCTGCTCACAAGAGACCATTCGTGCAAGATGACTATCCCAGGGCACTGGGCAGAGATGAATGCTCTGGGCCTGGCACAGAGTAGGCAGTGTTTCGTGAGATGAGATCCCAGTCTTTGCTTTGAACAGAAGTGGCCATGCCACTTACTAGCTGTAGCAGTTTGAGCGGGCCACATAGCCTCTCTGAGCCTCGCTCTCTTCATCTGTCAATCAGGAAACTCTCCATAAACAGCAGCTACTGCTATACTGCCCAGGGCCGGGCATGAGGTAAATGGGAGATGTGATGGAGAACAACTGATGTCTGCGTCTCATGCCAATTCTGAATTCAGGACACGCGGCACTTTCTTTCCCTTTAGACGCTTCTCGTGTTTTCTCCTTTCGTCTGTGGTCAGGGTCTGGGTCATCCTGGTCTGCTCTTTTTGCGGGGAGAGGGGACCCCACACATGGAAGTGTTTCTGCCTCTGACTCCAGGAGAATTGAGCGTAGCCAGGCGGCCCAGGGTGGGTCTGCATCCTCGCTGGAGCTGCCCCAGAGGGATTCTGGACTCGCTGCTGCAGGGTTGGGTTGGGCTGGGTTTGAGCATGAGAACTATCTCCTGTTCATTTAGTTTTCAGGAAACAGTCGATCTGTTCCTGGCTTTATCTACTGAGCCCTGTTGTGGGGCACTTCTCTGGCCGAAACCTGCATCAGTGGAGGAAGACCAGGCACAGATGCCTGGGTCCAGGGCTCCCCACTGCCTTCCATAGCCAGGGCATGTCCCCAATGTATGTCTCAACCCACCCTCCCAATTCCTACCTTCTTCATGCCACAGTTGACAAAGGACCCGTGGCCTGGCCGGGTGGGCCGGTCCACCACGATGCCTTCTCTGAACTCGGATTCCTCATCCTGACGCATGTGGTGAGGGCTGTCCAAGGGGTTCAGAAGCCCTGTGGGTAGAAGGGGTGCAAAAGCACACGGTGGTATGGAGTTCCAAGCCTCAGGTCTGCCACAGACCTGCCGCTTGCCACCACGCACAGGCCTTGCCCTGCCTGGGCCCGTTCTCCCACCGGCACAGCAATTTCTCGGGGTCTGGGGGGTGATCCATGGGAAATGGGGGTCAGCCCCCACTCCGGCCTTACCTGCAAACTGGAGATCCTGGTGCTTGGGGAAGAACGCCTTTCTTAGGTACCTAGCAAAGAACGCAGATCTCAGAAAGTTCCCAGGGGAGGCCACCTCCTGCCTCACCTGCACCTTCACCACCCTGCCCCACCCCACCACGCGCAGGCCAGTCTGCCCTTCACCCCCTTACTGCGGACACTCCAGGTACTGCAGGATCCGGGCCAGCTGCACGCACGCCTGCCCCTTCTTGCCAACGCCCCTGAATTCACCCTCCACAGTCCTGGAGAGAGAAAGACAGGGCTTCCAGAGCCTACTGCCCTCCCTTCGAGAGCTCTTCCACCCAGTCTGACCTCTGTGGTCCCGTTTTGCGACTCTTCCCGCCAGATTCACTGGGGGCATTTCAGACATTTCTCAGCCCAGGCAAGCAGGAGGCAAAAAGAATGCAGCAAAGCCAGTCCTAGCAGCCCCTCCCTCCTCCCTGAGCCCGGGTGCCCTGTTGGATGGCTCCTCACTTGGCATCTTGGCCTTCTTCATCAAACACCACAATCTCATCCACACAGAAGATGGTGCAGGCTCTGGCAATCTGGCCAGCCAGGTAGGTGCGAAGCTCCGGTGACTGGGCGTTGTCCAGGATGGAGCCTGGCAGGGCCACGCTCAGGGTGTAAGGCCGACCTGGGCAGGGGAAGGTTGTTCGTGGTCAGAGGGGCCAGGGCTGTGCTCTCCCTTCACTTCCTCTCATCCCAGGGCTCAGAGTTAGACAATTTTCCCTCTGGGAGGAATTTTGAGGTCAGCAAATCAGATCCAACTCCCCTTTCCAGGCCTCAATCTCCCCAAGAAGAAAATGGACCCAGTGGTCTCCAAGGCTCCCATGAGCAGGGCACACCCCTGGGTAAGACTGGGGAGTGGTTAGAGACATTGGCCTAAGTTCATATGTTGGCCCCGCCCCTTACCGCCTCCATTACCAGCTGTCAAATGGGGATAATAAAGAGAGCTATTATTAGCATCTTTATATGTGTGCATTTACCCAGTAACCCTAAAAAGTATTACCATGATACCCATCAAGACATGGAGAACCTGTGGCCCAAGGTCACACAAAAAGCAAGACAGCGAGATCTGGGTTCAGGCTGTCTAGCTCTAGAGGGACCACCATACTTTCCCTCCCGCAGTCGTCCAATGGGAGTCACAGGAGGGAACCCATGAAGGGCTTCCCTGGTGTGTAAAACAGCTGACATGCTCAGTTTCTGTCTCCACTGTCATCGTCACCACTGGTCACCAATGGGCTTAGAGGTTATGATGCCCTAACCCTCCTGAGGTTCGGGTCTAGACGAGGAGAAAAGACACAATTTGTTAGGGTAGATCCAGATGTACCGATGTGCAAGGACACCGAGGGTTCAATGTGGGATGAGAAAAACCAGGTCCAGAAGCTCACGGATAAAGTGGTCTCACTTTATAAAACTGTATCTGTATGTTCTCTGCGTACGTATAAGTGGGTACAACATAATATCTGGAGAAACTTTCACTGCAACGTTTGCTGGAATTTTTTCTTTCTTCTTTCTAGTTGTCTATATTTTTGTGGGGAGGGAGATTTTATTTTTAAGTTCATTTATCTTGAGAAAGAGAGTGAGCTTGCACAAGAGCAGGGCAGGGGCAGAGAGAGAGAAAATCCCAGGCAGGCTCTGTGCTCACAGCACAGACGTGGGGCTCGATCCCATGAACCGTGAGATCACGACCTGAGCTGAAACCAAGAGTCAGATGCTTAACTGACTGAACCACCCAGGTGCCCCAGGAAGGGAGATTGTTTTGAGCAACTATTATTTAATGATATAAAAAGACAAATCCTTTTTTAAAGAAATCGTTTCTTTTAAAAAAATGTTCATTTTGAGACACAGAAAGAGAGCACGAGCATGAGGGGGGAGGGGCAGAGCAAGAGGGACAGAGAGAATCCCAAGCAGGCTCTACGCTGTCAGCGCAGAGCCCTCACAAATCATGAGCTCGTGACCAAAATGCAACCAAGAGTCAACTGATGCTCCACTGACTGAGCCATCCAGGCACTCCCTCTCCCCGCAAAAAACCCCCAAATTCTATTATAAAATCAAAATAAAGGACGCCTGGCTGGCTTAGTCAGTAGAGCATGCAACTCTTGATATCAGGGTCGTAAGATCAAGCCCCACGTTGAGCATAGACCTTACTTTTAAAAAATTAAATAAATAAATAAATAAAGTAAAATAAAAATAAGTAAATGAAAAACTAAATTAAAGCACACAAAGTGCTCGATAAAAAAGTGAAAAACCACCATGATGATGATGATGATGAGTTCTGGAGATAGAAAGTTATGATATGTGACACTTTCCCTCCACAGGATTTAAACCTACCTAAGTAGGAGGTTAGGACTCAGTTTTCCGGGTCTCTCCCAGTCTCTGGGCCTCAGTTTCTCCATCAGGACGTCTACACCCACTGGTCTCTAAGGCCCCTCCCAGATAGGACACTGGCTGCCCTGCCCAGGACCCAGCCTGCTCACCTTGGTCCTCCCTCTGTGCAGCAGCCTCTTCTTCCTGCTGGCGCTTCGCCTGTTCTTCCTGGGCCCGCTGCCGCTCCAGTTTTTTCATCAGCTTGAGGTCCTTCCACTTCTTTTTCTCCTCTTTCTCTGGATGAGAGGACATCTGGGTTGGTGGCGGGGAGAGGGCTTGGAGGGAGAGCGACGCGGAGCAGTCCGGGAGATGGTGCCGTCTCAGTAGGGCTCAGCCTGGGCTCTCCAGCGCTGTTTAGTGAGCAGCCAGAGGAGCCATATGGGCTTCTGGCCCCTTCTTTCCCATTTTGGGTGCTGTGGGACCCAGAGCGGACAGACCTGGTGGCTCTCCACAGGGTTCAGCAGTGCACTGCTGGAGTGGCATTGGGCA